CCTTAGTTCTAGCCTAGGTCATACTTAGACACCTTAGTTCTACCCTAGGTCATACTTAGGCACCACTGTGATCCCAGAGCCCTGACGCCTGCCCAGCCCGGCAGACTGGAGGGCCAGGTCTGTCTGTCAGTGCTGCGGGTTGCTGCCTCAGCATTATGCGAGCTGGACCTACCTTAACCCAGGCTACTGGTCTCCACCATGCTCCCCTTCTGGATCCTTCCTCCGAGCCTGTGCCTCCGAGTTCCTCAGGCCAGAGGGTGGGTTCCCGCTGGTCGTCTCTCTTGCTCTCACCTGTGGCTTCCCCCTGCCCATCCGCAGCCCTCACTGCAGTGTCTCTGCCTGCAGAAGCTGGCTGCTCCTCCAGATTTCCGTGGCCTTTGCTAGCAAAGGAGAAACACGGGGACTTCTGTCCCAGAGGCTGTGGCTCTCCCTATCAGGAGGGGCATGAGGGTTTCAGGGAGGTCTCCAGTCACATTCCAGGGTGCTCTGGTGGGGGTCCCAGGGTGCCCTGATGGCTGTTGGGAGTCACTTGTTCGTTTGGGAGATATCCACTTCCCAGATCCTCAGCAGGCATCTCCTTCCTGTAGTGGGTGTGCTCAGGGCAGTAACTAGGGGAAGAAAAGACAACACTGTCTCCCTGATCTTATTAGGGAAGGGGAGAGGGGAGAAGAGAAGGAAAAACAAACACTAAAAAAAAAACAAACCTGAGAGCAATGAGGGCTGTTCAGAAGATGAAGAGACTGCTGTTACGTCAGGAGCCGGCGTTGCCAGGAGAGGCGTCATTGAGGGCCACATGCTTTGCGTTCTGGTGCATCATAAATCTCAAGATTCTAGTTAAGTTTTCTATTGATTAAAAAATATTTTTTGTGTGTGTCAAGGGTAATGTCCGGCACTCAGGTCCTCAGGGAATGAAACATACATTAAAATAGACTGGAGTACTCTCAAAAGTAATTTTCTTGGTACAAGTAGAATTTTCATTTCTCAGTTTCCAATTTTAGAAAAAATAGAGTCAAAATGAAATCCTGTTTGACAGAGTGTCCCTTGATAGCTCACAGCAGCTCAGTGTGGGCAGGAGGTGAAGGGTCATCTCCAGGAGCGCTGTCCTTCCAGGTTTCTGTGCCTCTTCGTTTCATCTTTCACTGAGCCCGAACACTGGCTAAGCCTAGCGTCCATGTAAGACCCTCCTTGTAGAAAATAGTAGTGGTCATTACACTGTCTCTTCCTGTACAGGAGAATTCAGAGGGCTCCCCAGGAGACGGATTGCAGAGTGTTTTTAGGAATGCATGTTTTACGCTATGGCCTTGTCTAAGATACCTTCTGGGATATTTAATATCAGGGCAGTTCTTCCAACAGAATGTCAAGTGTCCCTCCTGCGTTTCAGGCCATGCCAGTCCCCGGTACATCCGCTGCACCACCTACTGCTTCCCCAGCTCCTCGGACCTGGCCAAGCAGGCGCAGGTCCCGCTGGCTGCCGTCCTCCAGCCCTTCGCCACGCCCCCTGCTGACGAGGTGAGAGTGCGCCCCCCATCACCTGGGTGCTTCCAGGACATTCTACAGCTGATGTCTGCAGCTGTGCCACTTCACCTCCTGTGCACCCAGTGCTGATGGGTACCCTCTTGTCCTGTTGTGGCAATGCACACGACAGACCAGGTGAGACCCCACAAGGAGGCGACTCAGTGGCCTGGCACAGCCCCGTCGCCCCTGTGGAGGGCCCTGACACCTGAGTCCTGCCAGGGAGACGACAGGCTGCTGTCCCAGTTTACCAGCCTGCTGCGAGAGCTCCTGGGCACAAATTCCCGAGCACTGAAGAGTAGGCAGCATGGGTGGTGCATCTGTTCATACCAACCGGAAGGGTGTAGCCAATGTACAGTCGAGTAGAGAAACAGAAGCAGTGCGCATTCAGACTCTGCGGGGTCTGGTCAGAACTGGCCTAATTGCTCACACCACTGCCACCCTCTTTCCAACGGCCAAGTGCCGGTTGCTCACAGCACACAGGTCCAACAGCAGGGAGAGGAGCTCTACCCATGGCACTGCACCCACAACAGGCCCAGTGGGCCTTCCTGTTGCTCAGCAGTCTACCAGTTCCTGAATTCTTCATGATTGCTCCTGGCCTGGCTCTGTAGTTTACCAATTCCAGAACCTCAGCTTGGACTCACGATCCTGTCTGAGCAAGAAGAAGGCTATCTGCACAAGACAGCAGACCCACTATCTTGGATGGCTCTCCAGCTGACGTGAGAGCACTGAGCTGGGGAACCACGGGTGGTGAGCCACTCCAAATCAGCCGAGGGCAGAAAGAGGAAGAGAACCACACACTGGATTCTCACCCTTGGGACCTCTGCTCCCTGCCCCATGAGCGTCAGCGCTGCTGCCATCGCTGAGCTAGGTTAGGTCACAGGGAGAGGCCTGAGGTGCTCCTGGAAGCCAGCCTTCCTTATGGCCTGGCTTCATATTTACAAATCAGGAAGTGTGTCCCTGTTACCTCACCCATGTTAAACCTGGTGTCTCCCTTCTTGGACCCACAAATTTAGCACGATGCTTATACGCTCTTCTTCAGAACCACAGTACCTTCTGCAGGTGAGGTGGACCAACAGGCTGACCATCCTGCGGTGTGTACAATGAGTGTGCATTTTAAATACTACTTTAACTAGAAGTATTTTAAGCTATTTTCATGATTTGATGATGAAAAATTTCAAACATACAGAAAACTTAAAAGCATTGCACAATGAATGTCTACATACCTGCTGCCTAAATTCCACTGCAACTGTTCAGCTACATTTGTTTTCCTTCACGCACCTCCTTTTTATTCCTGGTGTGTTTCAAGGTGAGTGGCAGGTGTGAGCACACTTGCCTGTAGCATGCACATCATTAACTGGTGGCCAGTAACTGCTTGCAGATTATTTTTCCTTTTAAGGTAAAATTTATTTATGATAAAATGAACATGTCTTAAGTAGTCATTGAGTTTTGACGAAACTCCTCGTCCAACCCGAGCTAAGAGCATATAGACCTCAGTGAGCCTAGACGCTTCCCTGGTACTTCCCAGTCGGTCCTTCACGTGGCCCTCCCTCCCTGGCCCCCACTCTCTGTCTTTCCACACTAGATCTGTCTTGCTTATCTACTCCATACAGTTAGAGCCATAGGGATGCACCCTTGTCCAGGTAGATCTCTCTCTCAGGAGTGTTTTAGAAAGTCACTATTCATTGCTTGAATCCATAGCTGACTTCTCGTCTGTTGCTGACCACGGTTTTGCTGTGTGGATATGCCAGTTTGCGCACCTTGTCTCCTATTGTTTTGGGGCTGGTGGGTACTTAGGATTGAACTCAGGGACACTCAACCACCGAGCCACACCCCCAGCCCTATTTTGTATTTTATTTAGAGACAGGGTCTCACTGAGTTGCTTAGCACCTTCTTTTGCTGAGGCTGGCTTTGAACTCATGATCCTCCTGTCTCAGCCTCTGACCCCCTAGGATCACAGGCATGTGCCACCGCGCCTGGCACCTAGTCTCTTACTGATGGACATTCGGATGTTTTCACTTTTTGGCCATTGTGAATAGGACTATGAAGAGCAGGGGACAGTGGATAGTATGACACTCAAGTGCACACCACCCTCAGTTAACAAGTGCTAATACTTTGTCAGATTTCTTAAAATAACATCTTTAGAGAACTGTGACTCTTTCAGTGTAGACACATCCGTTTGCCGGGCCCACTCCTTTCCCCTCTCCCTCTCCAGGGCAAACACTGATGCATGTGGTGTGTGCCCTCCCTGCATGGCTTCCAGGTGCCCACTTCCCAGGCAAGCCTACATAGCAACATGACGGCATTCAGAAGGATACAGCACAGTGAGAACCAGGCCCCTCCTGCCATTGCCACCATGCTGCGGGACCACCTGCTGTTCCTTGCGGTCCCTGTATCTAAGGAATGCATGCAGCAGACCTGAGTGCCGTCCTGTGCGGGATCAGCCTGTGTGTGGTCAGGCACTCGTCCCTGCTGCCGCCCAGCGGCCTGGCCTTCTAGCGTGGTGTCAGTTCAAGGTGCGTGCAGATGGAAGGAATGCAAAGCCTCTAGTCACTGATGAGCTGCATTGGGGGCAGCCGTGCAGGGGTGCTGCGTCTCGTGAGTCCCCCGCATGCTCCCGCGCTGTCGGCCTTTGTGCAGAGAGCTGTTTCTTCATGATCAGGAAGAGATAACCTCTGAAAGACACTTGCGATGTGTATGAAGTATGTGTATGCCAGTGGACGGGGTTTGTGCGCCACACAGGCTCGCGGCTCCCAGCGGGGCTCCGGCAGAGCCCTCTCCTGGTGAGAAAGGCTGCCCGGGCCACATGCATAGGGAACAGAGGAGAACCCAGCACTGCTCACCGGGAGCCAGAGCCTGACCTTCTCACCATCCTTATGTGCGCAGTGAAGCCAGAGCTTCCTGACGGGAACCCAAGCCTTGCCCACGAGCTGGGGACCTCCCACGCCGTCCCAGCACCAGTTCTCTCCAGCTTTTTGGTTTAGCCAAATGCTGTCTGTCTATCTCTCCTGCAATGTGAGATTTTCCTTTTGTGAAAACTTGCTCTGCACTGGAGTCTCTGTGCTTTCTAAAGAGATGAACAGATGAGGTTCAGCCAGCTGGTGGCCTGTCCCTGAGAACGTACGCTCTGGGCATGTACCTGACAGTGCTGCTCCTCCTCTCAGCCTCTAAGGAAGTCCTATTCCCAGACGTGAGGGTGGGGTTGCTCTGGAGCCCTACCCCCCTCTGGGACTGGCAACCTGTGTGGGGAGTCACCCTTTCTTGGGAGGGTACTGGCAGGAGCTGGCCATGGGAGCCCAGCAGCCCCGGGCTGCCATTGTGCTGAGCCGAGACCACAGGCAGAGAGAGGAAGGCAGAGCCTAAGAGCCATGTAGGTGGTCAGAGAAGGATGTTAATGAAGCAGATCTGCAGAGCTGTCACGGCCGAGGAGCTGTCACGGCAGAGGTCCAAGTAAGGGGGTTTAAGGGTCAGAGCCAGCTCAGAGCATCAGCCTAGAGTGGTCCAGGTGTGGTCACTGTGGGCAGGAGAAACCTGATGAAACCAGATGGGAAGAGGAAATGGGAGGCTCACTGCTGTGGTGATCAGCCAGGGCAAGGCCCGTGATGGGCAACAAGGTGACAGGGCCAAAGTCCTCTATGTCCAGCCTTCGGGAGGCCCCTCCTTTGTGGGTCCTGAGTGGTGAGGTTGTGTCTGGTGAGGTTGGTGAGCTCCTGTGTCTGCGGTTCCTGACATGATTGGGATGGCCACATGTCCAGGTGCTCCTGATTTAGTTTGATGAGTTGGCACATAAACGTTATTGATCAGGGGCTGGGATTGTGGCTCAGCAGTAGGATGCTCGCCTAGCACATGGGAGTTGCTGGGTTTGATCCTCAGCACCACATAAAAATAAATAAATTAAGGTATTGTCTCCAACTACAACTAAAAAAAATATTTTAAAAAAGTTATCGATCAGTTTGTGCCTTATTGTGCTGCTGGGCAGATGGTGGTTGTTTATTTCTATAAACAAGATATGAATTATTTTACCTTGGCTCTCAAAATGGAGCAGCTCATGGCAAACTACAGTTTAACAAAACGGAGTACCTCGGGGTAAACACAGCCTGAGGACTGCTGTTCCACACACCATGGAGTCACTAGGGCA